ATAAAACCAAGAAATATCTGGACAAAGAGTCAGTAAACTAAGACTTGAAGTATATGCAATTGCAACTTTAGCCTATCTGACCGTTTTGACATCGGTTGTTTGTCAGTGCCTTACTTGTAATTGTTAAAGGTCACCTATTATGCAAAATCCACTTTTTCATTTATTTTCTACATAAACATGTGTCCCCTCTGTGTAAAGAGATTCTGAACGTTTCAGGAACAAAGATTCACTCACTTTTTTGTCCTGATCCATTTATATAAAAACCTGTCTGAAAATGAGCTGATCAGATGTTTTGCCCACTTTATGATGTCATAACGATTTTGTGTAGTCATTAGCAAATCACCAACCAAGGTAACCACCATTTATTAAGTAAATAGATCAATAATTTCTAAGTAGCAGCCAGATGAATATTGTGGATGTTGTTTCAGCAGTTCAGGTGTTCAGTCTTATTGCCTGTGGGATGAAACTGTCCCTGAGTCTGGTGGTTTTAGTCCGAATGCCAGACGGCAGCAGACAGAACAGTTTGTGGCTGGGGTGATGGGGGTCTTTTATAATCCTGAGGGATTTCTTCCTGAGCCGCTGGGAGTAAAGGTCCTCCATGGATGGCAGCTCCGTCCTGGTGATGTTCTGTGCAGTTTTCACCACCCTCTGTAGAGTCTTACGGTTGAGGGCGGTGCAGCTGCCGTACCAGGCCGTGATGCAGCCAGTCAGGATTCTCTCTATGGTGCACCTGTAGAAGGTCAGGATCATCTCTATGGTGCACCTGTAGAAGGTCAGGATGCTCTCTATGGGGCACCTGTAGAAGGTCAGGATGCTCTCTATGGTGCACCTGTAGAAGGTCAGGATTCTCTCTATGGTGCACCTGTAGAAGGTCAGGATGCTCTCTGTGGTGCACCTGTAGAAGGTCAGGATGCTCTCTATGGTGCACCTGTAGAAGGTCAGGATGCTCTCTATGGGGCACCTGTAGAAGGTCAGGATGCTCTCTATGGTGCACCTGTAGAAGGTCAGGATGCTCTCTATGGTGCACCTGTAGAAGGTCAGGATCCTCTCTATGGTCCACCTGTAGAAGGTCAGGATCCTCTCTATGGTCCACCTGTAGAAGGTCAGGATGCTCTCTATGGTGCACCTGTAGAAGGTCAGGATGCTCTCTATGGTGCACCTGTAGAAGGTCAGGATGCTCTCTATGGTGCACCTGTAGAAGGTCAGGATCCTCTCTATGGAGCACCTGTAGAAGGTCAGGATCCTCTCTATGGTGCACCTGTAGAAGTTGCAGAGTATCCTGGAGTCCATGTTGAACCTCCTCAGCCTGCGGAGGAAGAAGAGCCGCTGTCGAGCATGTCAGGTCCTCAGTGATGAGTCCATGTCAGGTCCTCAATGATGTGGACAGCGAGGAACCTGAAGCTGCTGACTCTCTCCACCGTAGTCCCATTGATGGCGATGGGGGCGTGTCCCTCTCTCTGCTGCTTCCTGTAATCAACAATCAGCTCCTTTGTTTTTCTGACGTTGAGATGGAGGTTGTTATCCTGGCAGCAAGATGTCAGTTTTCCGACCTCCTCCCTGTACGCTGTCTCGTTGCCGTCTGTGATCAGACTGATGACGGTCGTGGCGTCAGCAAACTTCACGATGGTGTTGGAGCGGTGTGTGGCCACGCAGTCGTGAGTGAACAGGGAGAAGAGGAGAGGGCTGAGCATGCAGCCTTGAGGGGCTCCGGTGTTGAGGATCAGGGTGGAGGATGTGATGTTTCCCACAACATACCGGCAAGACACTTGTCCCTAAATTTCTCCTGTGGGTATTGTCCACAGTATTCAATGGATTACATGTCTAATATGTAATGTAAAGGGCTTTGAGCACTTGGAAAACTCTAAAATAAATACAATGAATTATTATTACTTCCTATTTGGCTTCTCTGACAGATATGAGATTTGAGCAACATGACCACACAGGTTGTTGCTAGTAATGTTATTAAAAGGTTCAAACAAATGATTGAGATCATACTTCTCTGGTAACTACAGTCTGTTCTATACAAGATGTTATACATTTGATGTGATATGATGTCTGTTGATCTTAATACCCTGGGATTTTACCGCCACGAAAGTTAAAACGGTAGAAACTTTGGAAAGTCTTTCAAACATCAACACAATGTTTTGATCAAAAAGCATTTTTAAGGTTTATCCATTTTCCATGTCAGATTTTATAAATGCAGTTTCATCTGGGGGGTATACTACGAAGCAGGATTTTCGCTTAGCCGGCTAACTTCAGGGACAACTCGGGGTTTCCGGTCCTACGAAGCTGGTTCTCTTTTTAGCAGGCCATGGTAAGTTATGGTCAGGACCAGGTTAGGTTGCAGGCTAAGAGCTCAACTCAGTGAAAGCACTGCCTGCTGACCAATCAGAGCTCAGTGTGCGGAGTTTAAAGCGATCAAGTCATATTACAGGAGAAAGGAAATACAGAAAAACTGCCGTTGCAGGAAAGACGGCCGGCAAAAATCACAGACTGTGTGATCGTGAACATTAATAGAATATCACCTCCCATCTTCAGAGCAATCTGACTATTATAACATTAGCGTTAAGAAAGCTTACTTAAATATCTGCCACAACATAAGTAACCGGATCAGAGTAACATTAAGTACAGTCCGCGGCATATCACTTCATAATGTATCATATATCTCCTTATCTGAGTCAGCTGAGCCGTATCTGGCCGTGCAACACTCACAGTGTCACATACTGTATGCAGAAGTATTATTTTAAGCAACACATTAAGTTGACGAAACACTCGAGTCAAATGTAATTAAAGTCAAATTGTGTCTTAGACGGGGCAGTGATATCATAAACCTGTTAATGTACGCATTCAAACACTTTTTCTTTTACCAGCTGTATTCACCTTGCAGGTGCAGCTATGTGGCTTTTATCCTGGATAAAGTGTTTAAGTCATGGATGTTTAAAGTTTAACTTCTTCATATTTGACTAATATTAAAGTTCACTTTTCATTCAGGAAGTGTGACGCTGCGCTGTCAGTACGCTTCTCCATGTTTGTGATTGGTCGAATGCTCCAAATACCACCTCTTTCATGTGAACACCTAACTACATAGGACACGGCTGGCTTGAGCGATCCACTTGATAACCCGCGTCGTAGGACCGTTTAGCGAGAGCGCGTATGTTTTGGATTAGGCCAACCGGCTAACTCAAACATATCCAGGTTAGGTTGAACCAGCTTCGTAGTACAGGCCTCTTGAGTACCATTTCTCAGTTTTCATACTGCTGTGGGCACAACCAGACTTTTGGTAGAGGTACAGAAACATCTTTATCTCTTTTTTTAGAAATCTTCCTTTGAGCTATAAACGTGTTGTTGTTGTTGTTGCCCAACTCACCTGTATCTGAGTTCTATTTTAGCCAAACAATATCATTTAAAAAAATAAGTATCTGATCAAATATAGGGAAAATAATCTGACCATGGTATTCAATTAAACGTTTCTGGATGTGATGGTGTTTGAACATCATCCAACAATGTCTGAAAAGCATTTCTATTGACACAGGAAAAAGCGTCTGTTTGTCTATTATTTATGTTTTCAGCCAGCCGTTGTTTTAGCCAACATTCAGTATTCAAATCTTTACATTTTAAACTCAAGATTATTCTCTGTGTTTATCATGTATAGGTGTTAATTGCTTCTGGAGCGCCACTATAACTGTCACGGACACTAAGACTCTTCAGTGCATCCCAGATTTCTGTTGACAGGGAATTCATAAGAGTCACTACGCAGCTCATAAGTGTGTGAGCGTGTGTGTGTGTGTGTGTGTGTGTGTGTGTGTGTGTGTGTGTGGTGTGTGTGTGTGTGTGTGTGTGTGTGTTTCACAGCCGAATGGGAATCCTTCAGATCAACAAATAAACAAAGCAGCCAGGGCAGGCCAGCGTTCCTCCTGTCAGCGGCATCTGCCAGCAGCAGGGAGGAAGCTTTGGGTTTTTCCTGCCTCGTCTAATCTTGCATCTACAAAAAAAGAACAAAAAACCTCCTTCTGGACATCCTCCATCTGTTTCTTTTTTTCCCTCCCTTTCAGACTCTTTCAGCCTGTGTCCTCTGCTGTCACGTCCGATTCCTCCCTCTCGATCAAACATCTCTTTCCCCACTTCACCTCTCTCCACCCATCTTCCTCCATCTTTGTCTCTCCTGCGGATTACTTATTTAAACCCGAAAATAATTTCACAAGTTGTGACATCCCTGTTAGACTCACTGGAAAAAAGAGCTCTGAAGGGCTTAAGCCTCTCCAGTCCTACCTGTCAAGCTGCAGTTTTTGTGTCTTATTTTAAAACATTTTGATCCACGCTCTTACACCTGATTTATTTTTGACATCCCGCGTAATTTCCCAAATTAATTTAGCCTCTGCAGACTCAACAAAAAGGAGGATTTGCGGAAGAGGCTCATTTGTGTTCCTTCGTACATTTGCTTAGTTGCTGCTGCACATGTAAAATAGTTGCTCTCTCCTTTAATATCCAGCAAACACAAGGAGGACTGGATGTAATGGTACTGAAAGGAGGAGGGGGGAGAGGGATGGAGGACAAACTGCTGCTGCTTCCCTCCTCCTTCTCTCTTCATCTCCCCTCCAAAAAAAGAAGAAACAAAAAATCTCATCTCTTTACATCAGTATGTTAAATATCAGCAGACAGCCAGGGAGACAATGACACTAGCTGGGCAACGACAAAAGGAAATACATATAATATGGCAGGCAGGCAGGCAGGCAGGCAGCCATCCCTCCATAAACTCCATCCCTTTAAACATTCCTGCTGGGTGTCATGCTGCTGTACAGGCTTCTTTGTGGCCTCCTCTGCATCTCACTGTGTGCTCTGAATGTCCAAAATACTTAATTTCTCTCCTTTTATCTTAATGTTTCCCATCTTCTAATCTGCCCCTGTGTGTGTTGCATGTAAAGAAGCTGCAGGTGTGAGGTGACATCTGATGTGTTTGTGTTGGTGTTATTATTGGCCTCTAGACAATAAGAGATGCTTACCTTCTCGGCTCCTCTGTGTTTCTTGGCCGCCGGCGTGTCGTCATGCTGCCGCCTGACGACAATAGCGCCTCCGCCGCTTTTAACACACTCCAGCGCTGTTTTATTGGCAACACCTCCGCCGTTAATCCCGCTAATATTGTTATTGTTTACGTTGCTAATGTTGCTATTATCTCCCATGGACCTGGAGTCCGGCGCGGCGCAGTGGCAGTGTCCGGGGCCGTCGCGGCACAGATGATGATCGGGCAGGGCGGACGACGGGAGGAAGAGGGAGGGAGGAGGAGACGAGCCATCGCCGGGCTTCTCCTTCCTCGCCCGGGCTGGAGGAGCGGCAGTGTCCCTCTCCCTGTCTCTCTCCCTCTTCCAGCCCCGGATCACGTTTTTCCCCTTTCTCTCCTCCTTGCCTTTGGCGCATGTCGCAGAGGAGGCCGTGGTCACTTCGGAGACGCCGTTGTTGTTGTTGATGATGCCGCTCCCGCCACTGCCGTCAGTGTCTCTGCTGACCGCTGAAATCATCTCCACACCTTCTCCACCGCCGCTCCGTCCTTGAGCCTCCCTACGCTGCTGCTGCTGCTGCTGCTGCTGCTCGCCGCCGCCGCACACCCCCACGGCAGCCGCTGAGTGATCTGCCGCCTCCGGTTCCTCTCGTACCTCCCGACCGGCTCGGCTGCGTCTAAGCGCGGATCTCCTCGGCTCCGACCCGCCGCTGCCGCCTCCGCCGACAGGTCCCCGGGTCTGGAGCGAGGGCAAGGCCGCGTGTCTGTCGGCTGAGCCAGGAGCGCTGGAGGAGGCGGAGGTGATGGAGATGGAGGAGGAGGTGGAGGAGGAGGCGGTGTGGTTGGGTGACAGCTCCCTGCAGTCCATCAGCAACCCTCCATTCTCCCCAGCTCTCAGGAAACGGTTCATATCCTCCTCTCCTCGTGTCCTTTGTCGATCTTCACAATAATCAGCATTCAAGTCATTGTCAGCCCGCCGCAGTGTTGCAGAGCACCGAGCTGTAGGTGAGCACAGCCCTGTTATAGGCTGCTGGATCCGGCCTGCTCCACCACTAACACCTACTGAATGACAGCTCTGGCTGGGTGTTTTAGTCCACTTATAATAGCCTACATAAAAAACGTTTTTACACACATGGGCTAATGGCTACATTATAATAAAACACTCAAAGAAAGTACAATCACGTCCCAGAAATAATTGACACTTGTCCTTTTAGTTGACAAATAAAAAAAATATAGCCTAAGCTAATATTCTGGAAGTGTTAATTTCTCTCCCACCCTGAGTAATAGCTTGGCGAAAGTGTCACAAGCGACACATTGATTTAAGAAGAAAATATATGTCGATTCCTGTCAGAACATGACAGTGGTTGGCCATAGGGGGGCGATGCAGTGTTTGCTTTAGTCTTCAAACTCAGGTGTAACTGATTGGATGTCCACCAAATCTAATGGACTGATGCTTCCAATCAGCTGCTGTTTTCTGGAGCATTACAGTTGCACTGATTGGTCACAAGGGACGCTGTCTACTTGATATGTTTGAAACATCATACAATAGTCTTAGTCAATAGGACTTAGTTTCTCTGGAAATACATTCACAACCTACTGTGTTCACATTGTTCTTATTCTGGTATTTTGGCAACTTGAAACTAGACAATAATATTTGATTAATTATCTCCACATTTGTTCTCATACTTCATAAATGTACATGGATCATTACAACCCAGTCTCACGGCATTTCGTGTTCACCAACACGATTTTTAATCTATTGATTCGTGTTCACCAACACGATTTGCCCCTTTTTTCGTGTTGCACAGCACGATTTTAAAAGCAATGTATTTCTACTGCCTGCAGCACGTCTTTTTCTCCGGTCGGGTCGAGGAAGACCGGAAGCTGTGTGGTTCATAAAAACATGTTCTTACTCAATATCAAGCCACAGTTATTACTTTTATTTGAAATCGTATAATTTCGGACTTTTGTTGCCGTCTGTGAGGAAAATAAATGGGGCTCAGAGCCTCAGAATACGGAAATCTGTATTTTTAAAATATTTGTTTCCTTCTAATTCGATATTCTTTTCAAAATAACACACTGTTATTTACTCACCAATAACACACAATTATCCTTGCTTTTATTTATTGGTTTAATTCCATAATCTCGGGCTTTTTTGGCATCCGTCAGGAACTGAATTTCAAAATAAAAATAACCGGAAACAGACGTAGGCCTATAAGGGACATTTCGAGCATCATTGCGATTGTCAACATTTCTGAGTTTAGGATGGCCGAAGACACTACACTACCCATAATCCCCAGCTATCGTTTAGGACTACAGTCCCCGTAAAGTTACGCAGAGCGTCAAACAGCTGTGTGAAATGGAACGAAACCACGCCAGACTATCCAAAACTGGAATCGAACGCCCCCCCCAGAACTACACATGCTGGCTATTGTGTTTCGCAAAATGTTCTATGGGACGTCTCTACTGAACGTTTTCGTTTTTCCCACAATTAGAAGTTGCCAGTATTAAACACATTGGTGTTATCAAATGTAAAACATATAATTAATAAATGGGTGAAAATCGCTTGTGTCCATAATGCGCAGCATTAATACCCACATGACAGCTCATTGTTACTTTGTAATTCTACTCCACTACAATTCAGAGGTTAACCTGGTATTTTTACTCCACTGCATTTATTTGAGTTACTTTGCAGATTCTGATTAATTATGTGAAATATAAACAACCCTTAAATCAGACTTTAGTTACACCTGAGTAAAATTCAGGTAAGGTGATTGTCAAGTGCCAACAATCAGGAGAGATATTTGATAGTTGGTGCTTGAGAAGACTAAACATGTATCTGCAATTGACATGAATGGAAACGAGTAATAAAGTATATTCATTACTCGTTATTCTCTACTAATAGTTCATTAAAGACTGTATATTATGGCTATTTTGCACATCCCTTTAAAGATTTTCAAAGGTGTATTGACATATCATATACACAACTACGGTGTAGTTATGCAATGAATGAAACACTTGGGTCACAGGTTCCTCAACAGTGCATTACAAGACATCTATCAATATGTGTGAACCTCCACCATTAAACTGTCATATTCTGCACATTTCTTATTCTATCTACATACATAAGAGTATAATTCATATGTATAATATCAGTTAAAATAAGTGCTTCAACATAGTTAACATTGCAGGAAAGCAATATATTAGACGTTAAGTACTTTGTCAGGCTTAATATGTATCTGTAGATAGATACCCCCAAAGTTTTTTTCTTATTTAAAAGAAGACCTTAATCTGTTATTTAATGTTTAAATAAAGGTTAATTCGTTTTTCTGTTTTGCACCTCCTCCTATTAATATCTTTGTACATTCTGCACTAAACTGTTTTATTGTAGAGATCACTTATAGTATCTTCTTGATTTTTTATATTCTATATTTATACTTTCCCCCTATGAAAGTATGTACTCTTAATATTTTTAACAAATAAAACACAATAATTCAATAACGTGCTTTAACCACTAGGCGGTGCACACAAGGTACACACAGCCATAATAACTTTGTATTATTAGTTTAGGACACTTTTGTTTTCTGAAAATGTGTAGTTTTATGCATGCGTTCACATAATTTTACAGCATATTGCTATACTATTTCAGACTCAGTATTTACATTCTTACATTCAAAGAAAATCAGTAATATCTTTAAAAACTACAGTCCTTTTATATCAGCTGTGCACCGTTATGGTGTAAATAAAACCTATCTGTGAATTAGATCAAATGTAAAAGTCAGCCGAATTAGTGTTGATACTGCAAGGAGACGTATTGTGTGAAGAGAAATTGAAGATGTTGTTTAATTGTTGTATATATTTATGATCCACGTCAAGTATTCAGTTTCGGCGGCATTTTCTCAGTTTTTCCAAAGGTCTTCTCATCAGGGCTCTATAAATAAAGAACTACGGCAGATCTGTAATATACAATACAGCCGAACCGTGTATTACAATGCCGTTATGTGATGACTTTCAAAGAGAAAAGCAAGAGCGCTCGGAATTAAGTAATATTTTATTCTTTTAAAATGTTTTCCGGATTTCATATCATATAAACAACAAATCCCAGCATGCATTGCGGCTAAAACATCCAATACGCCAGCTTAAAACCATAGCTGAGGATCTTGAGTAATCGCTCGAAATGCCTACGTCTGTTTCCGGTTATTTTTATTTTTGAAATTCAGTTCCTGACGGACGCCAAAAAAGCCCGAGATTATGGAATTAAACCAATAAATAAAAGCAAGGATAATTGTGTGTTATTGGTGAGTAAATAACAGTGTGTTATTTTGAAAAGAATAACAAATTAGAAGGAAAAAAAGATTTAAAAAATACAGATTTCAGTATTCAGTAGGCTCTGAGCCCCATTTATTTTCCTCACAGACGGCAACAAAAGTCCGAAATTATACGATTTCAAATAAAAGCAATAACTGTGGCTTGATATTGAGTAAGAACATGTTTTTATGAACCACACAGCTTCCGGTCTTCCTCGACCCGACCGGAGAAAAATACGTGCTGCAGGCCGTAGAAATACATTGCTTTTAAAATCGTGCTGTGCAACACGAAAAAAAGGGGCAAATCGTGTTGGTGAACACGAATCAATAGATTAAAAATCGTGTTGGTGAACACGAAATGTCGTGAGACTGGGTTGATCATTATGCTGCCAGGTATGGAAGCAAACAAGAGACAGAAGTATTTGAACTTTATTAGACACCGAATTTATAGCATTGAAAATAATTACTTTGAAAATCATGTATCTGAATGTTTTTGCTCCGAATTTACCTATGTGAAATAAAAATGTAAAAATTAAAGTTAAAAAAATGTGAATGTTCAAATTCAGATCCCAAAAATTCAAGTTAAAAAAATTCGACGTCAACATTTTCGGTGTATAAAATTCGACATCCAAAATTGCGATGCAGCATCATCCGGGCTACTCAGACAGGATAAGCAATCGAGCCCGAATGCAATCAAACCGACTTCTGGCCTATCAGAGCACGGCTTTGTCAGTCATGTGATCACAACAACCCGGGAGAAAAATGACGGAGACAGCGGGGCTCGCCGCTCGGGTAAGTAGTCAGTTTGTGCTCTTTATTTTACAAGCAGTGAGGGCTCGACAGCATTTGTATGTTACATTAGCTAAATGAGTGAAGTAGCCTTGTGCGTTGCTGTTAGCAAGCTCCGTAGTTATCATTAATTGAAGTGAATCACAACGGTACCGTGTCCTTTTGTGTGCGTGTGTGGGGGGGGGGGCAAGTAGACACAAGTTATACTATAATATTATATCATTTGTTTTATTATTACCGATGCGAGAGTTGACTTAACTGTTGTAGTTGGAGCTAATTTTGAACAATGAGCTATAATGGTTTAATGTGCTGGCTATTTTCTACATTAATAGATGCAGGTCTGGTTTGTTCAAACTCTCAAAATAGTAGGACATGCTGTCATAATTACCCAGAGTCCGAAGTGACACCTTTACAATGTTACAGCTGTTAGATAAATGTAGTGATGTAAAAACTAAAATATTCAAGATAGTGTAGTGGAAAAGAGATAATGTTTTAAAAACTCATTTTTGTTTTACTAAAACAAAATCTCTTGTTTTGGACTGACAGTAATGATTCAAGAAATAGTTGATAAATAAATACACACACATCAATCTGTGTGCATTTGTTGTGGATGGAACACAACAAATGGTGCTCTTACCTGTGATGCCTCCTCCAAACATTATAACCAGACTGTATCATTGAAACTATAAGTAACAGTTCTAGCTACTTGACTTTAGACAAACAATTCAAAAGACAAAATCAACACAATGTATTGAAAGACCAATCTTTATTTTACGGTGCCTCTCCTTTTGTTTGTATTATTAAACCCTGTCAATCTAAAAAAAAAAAAAAACAGTTAACTTTATATTTCTTATTGTCCAAAGCATCTATTACACTATTTGTTCCCCTCATATTCACAGGATGGATGATTAGAGACTTTGGGGGAGACCTCAGCTTTATGAACGTCCTGTC